TTTTCTTAGGTTAGATTTATTGCTTTCTAGGTTAGTTTTATTGTTTTCTTATATATGAAAAATACAAAAAAATAAAAAATTAAAAAATCCAAAAATACGTTCCAATGAATTGTAAATTATGCTTCCCTGTGCCTCTTACTTGAGAATATTGTTATGATCCTTGGTATATGATGATAATCATTGTGGATTACTTGATCATGATTTGATGTTTGATTGCCTTGAAACTTTAACATGCATCAATTTTTCCCAACTACTTGTGAATATAGTGTTTGACTAGTTGACTTGGTTAGGAATGTGTGTTAGTTCCTGGTATGTCATTGAATTTGAGTATTGGTTTGCAACTATAAGTAATGTTTATATGATTCATTATTATGCACATTGAGGAGGACGAAGACATTTGTTCTTTTAGGTAGCCTCCAGATGATTGTAGATACATTTGTTCCCTTCTTGCTACCCATGTTGTTGCCTTGACTTTTTGTTGTTTGTTAGCCACATTACAAGCCTATTTTGCCCCATTGGTTACTAGTCCCAAGCTTGCCTGGGGGAGCTATTAGTGAGTGAGGTGAGGGAGTTTGTAGTGTGCTTATTATTTGCACAATTTGGGTGGGTTTTTGAGAAGTTCTTTTGTTTTTTATCGTGTTTATTTTGATGAGTTTGGAAGTTATATTTTTCTTGAAAAAAAATAAAGCATGATGTTATGAAAAAAAAAAAAGAGAAGTGAAAAAAAAAAAGTAAACTTCAATAGGAAAAAAAAAATGTTCAATGTTCAAATGTTCTAGTTGGAGGTTGATCAAAAGATAAAAATAAAGCTTCGATGAAAAATTCAAGTTTGGAAATAAAGTTTGTTCATTCACTCCACTTCTTCATTATTATATTTTTATGAGTGAAATTGTAAGAGTTGGGATTGTTTATTATGATTGGAGTATATTTGGTTGATGTTAGAGTTGGTTATGTAGGAGATGTTGATCATTATTTATTTTAATCATGGGCTTTATTAGGATTTGCTCCCTTAAGCATAGCTTTTCTCTCACTTATTCTCAAATGATTCCTACCCTTTACCCTAGCCTTACATTACAAGATTTAAAGACCTTCCGACCTTTGTGCATAGAGTTGTATGAATGTGAAAGTGTTGTTTATCAATGCAAGTTATGATTTGACATATTTCGAGTCGACTAGTAGGTTGAGCGTTCATTGTTTTATACACACGAGAGTGTGAGTTGGGAGGGCATTGTTCACATAAAAGGGTTGGTTGGAGAGCGATCAAGTACATCTTTTACTCGCCACATAAATGAGAGTTGAGTGTGTGAGCACTAGTCTTGGATTCTATATGCTCTTGTGGTTTGCTCTATTTGACAATTGTTAGGGAGGAAAGGTAATTGGATGGATTTGATTGGTTGATTTTGAAGCATGTTTATTTGATTTACCCTGAATCGTTTGTGTTTGATTTTTACTTTTTGGGGTGAAGCATATTTATTGACTCATTGATGAGATCTTTTCTTAGGGACAAGCAAAGGTTTGGCTTGGGGGAGTTTGATGTGTCCATTTTATATAGTATTTTACCCCCGTCCCTTGGTCATAATTAGTAGTGTTTTTGGCTCTTTAGAGCCACTTTTATTACTAATTGGTATTTTCTAGTGTTTAGATTTTGTTGACTTTTGCAGGGATTTACATTTTTAGAGTATTTTCCCGAGATATTTTGGAGCAATCACGAGCACTAGAGAAGCACGACCAGAGTTTATAGCCCAGGGCCGGTTAGAGCCATCGAACCGGTGATTAAAGGCTCGGTATAGGTGATACCGGGGCATTTGGACCGAGTATTCAAGACCCGAAGAGGAAACCCAGATTGGCCCGAAGAATTGGAGCCCAATCGTCCAATTAGTGGCCCAAGAGAGCCGCCCGGCCAAAGAGGCTGGCGCCCGGAGGCGCGCCCGGCCGGGCGGGAGAAGCAAAGGTCGGCGCCCGGTGACGCGCCCGGCCGGGCGCGAGATTTAACCTGAAGAGCAAAAAGGCGCGCCCGATCGGGCGCGTGTAATTATTAGGGGTTAATTTCGTCATTTAAGTTTGTTTTAGTTTAGGATTTGTACGGAGTATAAATACTCCTTTGTAATACGATTTTAGGATCTCTTTTTTACTTTTTCTTTACTCTCTTATGTGTTTTCTTAGATTTTCTCTCTCTTATACCTTTGTTCTTAATCTACTTTTAATTCCAGATTTATTTTGGTAACTATTTCTCTTCTCTTAATCTTAGTTGTTTATTTCATTCCTTTGATTATGTCTTGCTTTATTGCTTTGATTAGTTTAGTTTTTATCATGAGTGAGTAGTTCTATTTCTAGGGTTTATGGGGATCCATAAATAATATGAAGGGGTAATTTATTGTTGTTGATTGTCAATGCTAGATTAATTTCCTATTGATTGATTTAATGCTCTGTGACTAGATTAGGCCTGATCTTTTATGCATGAGTTTGACAATATTGATTCGATATTCGACAGATGAGAATTGATGTTTAGGTCTAGTTTCAATAGACAGGTTAATTTATAAATGCTTAAGTCAAGATTCGAAAGATGAGATTTAATACCGGTAAATTAATTGTGTGATTATAATACGTAGCGAAAGCCTTTTATAATCTGATTAATGTATGCATTGATGAATGATTATTATATTCTACCCTGGAATATTATTTATTGGTGAACCTATGCCCTAGATCCTTTTTATTCATTGTTTTCTTCCTATTCTTAATCTTCGTAGTTTAGTTTCATATTCAAACTTATATATTGGTTACTTCATAATCTAGATTATATTAGTTAATCAGGAATAGAAAGACCCGTTTTTCCGTGGATTCGACCCTACTTCCCTATTTACATTAGTTAGAGGATTTAGGAATTACTTTTGATTTGGGGATACGGCTTTACCCTGTCAAATCACCTTATATTTAAAAGGTATCAAAAATTGTTTTGTCACAACACACATGAATTGAGGCAACCAAATCTAACATCCACTTACATAGAATCATATCCTCGTTATCAATTTAAGTCATATATAAATCATCACCATTAACCACATCGGAGAAATCACCTTTCCTTGTTCACTTTCACCTTGCCCAAATTTCCTTATCTTTTAAATTTTTCAAGTTTTCTTATTTTTGGGCAATTACATTGCATGTGGCACTTCTTACAACAATAATTGACACTCATAATCTCTTGGCAAAGATTTTAATCTAAATTTTGGGTCATCGTTTCTCCATTTTCTCTCCCTCTTTTAAAACCCTCCACAACATCTATTTGTGTTATCAAGTAGCACATTTTTTCCTCACAACTAGTGTTGCTTCATTGAATGTAATTTTCTCCTTTTCTCCTTTTCCATAGCATAATGGGCGTCTAGAATTTTGGTGATAAAGCCAATAACAATAGGGCATACTCGCACAACTCCCATCTAGAATTTTCTCATTGGCATCTTGCAATAACACACTAACTGGGTATTGTGATTTTGTAAACTTAAACAATGTTCCATTTTCAACTCGCACAATTCCCAATAATCACTGCAAATTCTTTACCGCTGGCCACCTCTCTAACAAGACCTTTAAATCCATCTAACCTAAGATATCATACTACATCTCTTACGTAGCCCACTCCAACTTGTGTGCTTTCCTTCTCCACACATACATCCAAATTATTTTATGCTAATTGTCTTCAACAATAGTCTTCCACACTATGAAATTTTGGTTTATCTGTTTCATATTACCTTTACGAGTTCCATTACTAGTTACTCTTTACCTTCGTCGGAATCTCATCCTCTTAACACCCACTCTAATGTATGGAAAGAAATTAAACAACAATATACGAAAAGTAACACAAATTATTTACAGGAAAACCCCTTTGCAATGATAAGATACAAACCACCATTCGAAACTCCAAGGACAAAAACCTTAATAATATTGATGTACAAACATAAAACACCAAAACTATTGTCAGGTACAATGTGTTTAGGGCGACTACAATTGGTACCCTTAATAATGATACTAGTAATCTTATCAGCCCCTCGCCACCTAATAATTTGTTTATTCTACACCAATTACTCCATAATAAAATATAGTTTTTTACGTTTCTTCTGTTTTTCATCTTCCCCTCTCATCATTTTTATAAAAACTTTCAATATAAATAAGAAAGCTTTACTACTAAAATAGATAGGCTTAAATGAATAGCATTCTAAAACTGTCTTGCTTCCACTTATTACACTCCTATAATTTTGCTTTATTTTTCATTTGTTTTCCTTTCTTACTTGCTACTTCCTCCGATCCCCTTGTATTGTAGCTGGACTTTTACACTATTCACCCAGTCTCTTAGACCAAAAATTGTGAATCATATGTAAAGAAAATAAAGTTTGTGTGACTTGTTAGATTCATCTCATTTTAAACTTTAATACATCAGCTTTTTATAATTTTTACTTACTGAAAATTATAGGTGATAATGGTTAAATTTGTGTGATGGGAAGCGTAAAACTCAACATATTGCAACGTTTATGGAGCAGGGGAAATACTATATTTGGCATTTGGAGAGATCAACCCGACAAAGACTTTGGTGCTCTTTTTGTAGAATATGTAGCCTCTACCTAGTCATTGGTTAGCATATAAGGCCTTGAACTATGTATCATGATGCCCTAAATATGGCATGTTAAAATCAATATGAAGTGGCAAGACACAAAAATCTTCCTAATAGGAAATAATTAGTGTTTTACCTGTCCATTTGGTAGATATTGATTAAAACAAAGTGCAAGGAACTTCAAGGTGCTTTAATTAAAATATCCCAAGTGTCTAGAAATTTTTCATTCAGGTATCATCTACTTTCTTTCGACATATAGTTCAAGCCTTCAAGTTCTACAAGGGATAGGGATGATTGGAGAATCTTTGAGAATAAGAGAAACCTTTTCCAATGAACTTCCCTCATCATTTTTCACATTTTCCCACACTCATTGCTTATAAATTAGACTTAGAAGATTACATACCGCTCCATGAGCTGCATGTTGTTGGGCATGATCAGATGTCACTACCCAAACCTTTGGACAACCATCCTCCTTTAACGCCACAACCTGGTTTCACAAATAGGAAAGACACAAAATGGAAAATTATGCTAAGCACAAGTAAAAATTCCAAGCAGCATAACTGAACTAAATCAAATAGACATTAAAGTTAGAGCAAAAAGATAAACAAGTGCTAGTTTGATAACAAGCGCTAATTCTTACTCGGTATATTAAAAAAGATAATAAAAAGTACTTCCCCGGTCTAGATAAGTCGGCAAATATTCCTTTGTGGAAAGTTTCTTCTTAACTGACACGTTTTAATTTTGATAAGGTATACATGAAAATATGTAAATTCTACCCTCACTAATTTTTCTTACCCCTCTTCTATCTCCTTTCACTATATCATATCAATCCTAAATTTCTCACTCCATCATCATCCTTAACATCAGCTTCATCTTCTTCACAATAGTTTTACCTGTTCAATCGCGTAAACCCTTAAATAATGAATTGATGAATCCTTTTATTCAATCTAACAATTACCTAGAATATAAATCTCACCTCGTCTCTCTCTCTCTCTCTCCACAAAAAACAAGCATCCTTTTATAAAAGTGCAAAATTGCATGTAAGAGTTCATATCTTTTTCACCAGCAATGTTTCTGACAAGTGAATCTAGGCCATGATCAATAACCAAATTTTGAACCCTAACTGGACTTGCCGCCCTTTTCCTACCATACCTCCCTCCTTTGGCTTCTCTGGAGATTTTTCAAAAAGGGAGTCTGGAAATCGCAACCTAAGACGATGGTAAGGAGGGCAATGTTGGGAGGTAACGAAGATGAGGAAGAGAATGGTTGGGTTGTTAGTTTGGAAAGGGAGTGGAGAGAAGGTTTTAAGGTGAAGAAGAAGGTTGGGATGGCTAAGTAATAAATGAAATGGGTGGGGTTGCAACTGGTTGTTCTGTTAACTTGTCAAATAGATTGGCCGTTATGAAGGTAGGTGCATAAAGGTAAAGGCACGATAGTATAAACATTTTTTGTCTTTTTCCTTTCACTCTCACATCACCTTAATATATGTGCCAAAAGAAACCTTTGAACTAATTTGGAACAGAGGAAGTATACTAGAAGAAGCTGATATTATGATGTATCATAAATGATAGATGATATAACTTGGGATTAGTGGTTCGTTGAAATGATAATTGATAGAGTGCTACATAGATAGGACTGTGTATATAAGTAACTTTAGAAAATTTCAAATCTGTTCAGATAAACTGGGTTCTGTCTTTTCTGATCAGGAAGTGATTATCTAATGTTTAGCTCACAAGATCCGATTCTAACTAGACTTCTCTTTTGAGCACAGGTTAGTTTGTTGTATACAGAAAAGTAGAGGAAAAAAACCAGCAGAGAAAGAGGAAGAACGAGAATTCAACCAGGAGGATTAGGAACGTTCAGGTGAATTATAATCTTCAAAATTTTCTTAAATGCTATGGCAAATAGAGTATGCAAAATAATTCATGTACCTCCTTTTCTATCCATGAATCAGCACAAGAATCCCCAGAGAAAACTATGTCCACCCTGCAAAATAAAAATTAAACAGTTGTAAAAATTGCAACATGAACATAAAACACATGAACTAACGGATTACTCTTTTGTCTAATCAAGAACAAAAAAGAGTCAAATGAAAGAAGGATACAACCTAGAAGGAGAAGATGCCTTCAAACTGAAAAGTGATTATGACAAAGAGAGAGATACAACAGGAGGATACAGTGATTTAAATAACTTTTGAGAGCCTAGCCATAAGGACACTAACAGGTATTTTATTCCATAATAAATCATGAGGATTGGCAAGTCCTGAAAAGATAAGAGCATCCCATTCCAGAAAAATGCATTTGGCCAATAACCTTCTCCTTCCCCCACCCACCACCACCATCTTTCTTAAATAGTCGGTTACATTCTCCATTTAAATGAACATCAAGTTATTCTGTTCCAACTAGCATTAATGGAGATTTAACACAGGCTTGTGGACTATTTGTTAGGGCTCTAAATCTCCGTGTAGAAGGAAGAACAAAGCGAGGAAGTCACGCATCAATAATTGTAATCTTTAACTATTATGTAATTTGTAGTTCCATACTATGTATATGCATGTGATCCTTGTTTCAATATTATGTATGTGATACATAAATTTCGCTTAGTGTACCTAAAATCTACATGTATTACAATTATGATTTTGGGTGATAGTTATGGTTTTTCATTTATTAGTTATAACTTATAGGATTGGGTCTAGTTATGATTTTTGGTAATTAGTTATGATTTTTAGTAATAGCTATGGCTTTTGAAGTTATAATATACGATTTTGAGTTATTAGTTATTATATACGATTTTGAGTTATTAGTTAGGCTATTTCGGTTTAGTTATAATTTTTAAATTTAGTAATTGTTTTAAAGTCATCAATTATCGTTTTCGACTTATTAGTTATGGTATTCGGCTATTCGCCTATTCAGGTTAGTTGTGTTTTAGGTGACTAGTTATGGTTTTCAAGTTAATACTCATGGTGTTCAACTTATTATTTATGGCATATGTTTATAGTTAATATTTTTGGTAATTAGTATGTTTAACAATGGTTTTCAAGTTATTAGTTATGGTTTTCGAGTTTACAGCTTCCCATGTTTATTTTGTATAATCAGTCATTACTCCTAGTCTATCACACAGTTATGGTTCTCAGACTTCAATTTGGGGATAAATTAATTATTGGTGTGTAATTAATGGTAATTAGGGTTCAAAGGGTGAGTAAAACATTGGTATAGCCCCCACTAGAATAATTGCATGAATTCCATCATATTTGATAGGAAAAATTGTCAAAAATAATACAAACTTTAAATTATCCGCCGAAAATAAGTAGATCTTTTAATTATTTCTAAATAATACAAACTTAGGGGACTATCCGCTTTAAACGGGATATTTTACCTACAACCTATATAACCGTTTAACATTTTTTCTTTTTTTTACAAATTCATTTAAGAATTTAATTAACTTATAAATATATAGTTTTAATCATAATTAATTAAATTAACAGTTAATAAAATAAATTAAAAAAAAAAAAAAAAACACATCCCTCCCTCACCACCAGCCACCCCTCCTCCCCCACAACACCTAACTCCCCTATATGGGCTGCATCCACTATCACCACACCAGTCTACCTCAAGCTGCTGCATACACAACCACCAAACCGAGCAATAGCAGCAGCCTCCCTTCTCCTCTCACCATCCAACACCGCAAGCAGCCACCTGCTGCAACAACCGCACCTCTGCCACCATCTTTCTCACCGCAAACTAACATAACAACCCCAAAAGGCAGCGCAGCTCTCACTCCCCTCCCCACGAAAAACCCACATAGCCGCTCCCCCCATCCTCGAAGCCCTCAACGCTCCATCCCCGACCCTCGAATAATGGATAGATCAAAGTTCCTGGTGCTGAAATTCTCACAATTGAGATCTCTGAGTTCGATGATTGTTGTTGTTGTGGTGATGGTAGTGGAGATGGAGAACTGCAATTGTTGTTTTCCTTGATTTGTTAATTGTTTGTTAAATTACAATGACCTAATTTAATCCAGAAATTTCAAAATCAAAATCAGGAACCTCAATCGAAACAAACAAAACTGATTTCAATATCGAAATATATTGAATTGAGAAATTATACCAAATCGGAGGTGATATCAAAAAGTTCGAGTTTTGACGAAGTTTCTAAGCATGGTTTGGGGTTTTAGTTGGGGATTTGTGGGTAGTTGGCACCGTGGCAGTCATGAAGGGGAAAGGGAGGGGGTATGGATGTCGGGGAGGGGAAGGGGGCAGCGCCAGCAAGATATAAAAGTCGGGGTAAGTGGCTGTTAGGGAGATAGCTGTTGTTTTTTTTAAAAAAAAAATATATATATATTATATTAATAATTAATATAATAATAAATATTGTTTTATATCTTTTAAAAATTATTAACTTTAAATAAATTCAAATTCACAAAGTCAGTGTAACCTATAAAATAACGACACGTGTCTCATATACCTGCTAATCAAGTTACCAACAAGTTATGACTTGTTTAAAGCAGATACTCCCTACACTTTGTATTATTTCCAAATAATTAAAAGATTGACTTGTTTTAAGTGGACCGCTCAAAATTTGTATTATTTTTGACAATTTTTCCTATTTGATATTAGGTAGTTATATTTTAGTAAAATAAGTTGTTAAGGTAGCTATTTTAAAAAATATTAAGTAGTTTTTCACAAATATTCCCAAGAGGTTCAAAAGCATCGTGAAGGGTTACAATAAGACTTCTACAAAGGGTATTGGTAGTATTTTTTGCACCACCATTAGCCCTCTTATGTTAATATTATATTTCATGTGGGTTCAAATGAAAAGATTAATTAATCTGCTGGTTAGCAATGGAGCTGGAGAAGTATCACAATCGCATAAGAATGATCACATTAAAAAATAAAACTTTGGTCAAATTCTTAAGGGAATAAGATAGAGTAAAGTTGAAACTAAAGGAAAGCATAAAAAGGATATGGATCCGAAGAAATAGATGAGTCAAACATGAATATAGAACTAGTCCAGTATGACCATAAAAATAGTCTCCTTGAAACTCATTAAGCCAGAAAGTTTTCTAAGATGCCCAAGAATTAGAAAATGCGTTTAATGAAAAAATACAAACAATTTTGACCATATTTTTTTACTATTAAATTAAAAGATGTGTGCTTCCAAAATATCAACTTTTATGATTGTTACAAATAAATAATTTAAAATATGAATGGTCAACGTTGTGTATTAACATGCGTGACAAGTCAAAATGGAACAGATAAAAATATAGACGAGATAATTATATATTAGTGCACTCAAGTAAGCACTAATTGTTGATCATGAATAGCCACTGCTAAAGAACTCAGCAGCAGCAGCATCAAGAATACTACCGACAACACAACTGGTGACTTTCTTGCAGTACTTTTTTCCTTAGAGTAGCACAAAGCTGTCATTCATACATTTCAATTTTTTATTTTTTTTTTTTTTTTTGTTTTTTTTGATGAATGGGATACATTTCAATTAATCTGATATCATATTTGTCAGCACTTTCAGCTTTAAGGGTATGATTCCAGGGTTATAACAACTTCTTTATTTTTTTGTCATTATTGATGCTTGAAAATAGCCAGCTGCCAGTATCTCCGAATTACCAATGATTAGATGACCACAACAAGCTAAAGAAGCTTAGAGAAAGTCACTTGAGCTTTAGAAGAGCATACCCGGCAAGAGTTTCCTTGTGAGTAGGTAGTCCAGACTTCATAGCATCAAATACAGTCACCACCTTTACTTCTGTCAAAATTTTAAAAATTACGATAGAAGTAGTGGCGCGAAAGTGTTAACAGCAAAGTTACAACCAAAGCAAGCCATGCCATTTCAATCAAGTACACACACACACATGCAAATGCTAAAGATTTTCACATGTTCAATGGACAGCTAGTGGATAGGCTTTCTTCTTTAGATACCCAATATTCAATCTATAACATTTAGGAACATTTTAGAGCTATTTTTCATTTAATTTGTTGATTTACAATCCTTAATTTTGTGACTATATATTGTTATTGTTATGCAGAAATCTTTAGTCAGTAAATTGCAAAATCTGAGAAGCAAAGCACAAACCTCTTACCAAGCTGAACTGGACAAGTTCATCAATTAACTTTTGCCGGGCTATATCGAGTCGTCCACTACTGAAATGCTTCTTCAACTTCACCCAATAGCCACAAACATTATAACCATCAACAAGCAAGACAGGGGCAGCACAGTCAACAATCTGATTTGTACTGCAGTCAATTGTTGAACAGAAATATCTTCATCAAAAGTTGAGAAGCAAAACTTAAATCAACTATAGGTTTGACCCAGGAGGAAACTTACTAATAGAGTGCCAAGGTTGGATCCTTATAGAGTTCTGTATCTGGGGGAAGGTCTTCCTTCTCCACCTTTTTTCGAGGATAGCTAGTAGCTGGCTTAGGTGTGCTGGATTGTTTACTCTTGAACTCCTACAAAAACAACTATCTGGAGATTAAAGGTCAAATCATCAAAACTAACCAGAGCTCTTCATACACTAGAAATTTTTGATACCTTCCATAACTTCAAAAATTGCAAATTTTGTTTAACATTTGTTGTGATCCTTGGAGGAGGTTCAGAATCCTACAGAGGGCCAAATTAATCAACATCAAATCTTTGTTAGCAGTCCTCAAGAAAGACGCATTCACATTAGTGATCAATCGATACAAAGTTTTAAGCAACTTGACAAATGAAAACTTGAATACTGTCTTAGATATAATTCCCAAAAATAGCAAGTGGAACTGTAGTGAGACACTTCAGGATATGAATTTTTAGTACAGTTATGATGATGCAGGAGTCTTGGACTAACTGCAATGTCGAGAGAAATGACAGAATATTGAGGAAGAGAGAAACTAATAGTGAGAGAGAGATCAGAATTTAGAAAGAAAACGAGAGGAACATATTTTTTCTTGAATGATGTTTACAGCTCTGTATTCATCTATGTATGCAAGATAGCAAGACAATCAATTGTTGTACAGGAAAAAGCTTCTTCTAAATTCTAATTACCATAACTAATTTCCTTTCTGCTAACTTCTTAAACTACTTTTGGCATGAAAAACCCAACTAACAAATTAAAGTGAATTTGGTACCTAAAACTGCTTACTTCATATATTGTAACATTATAACATACGGGCGGCTTGAGGAATAAATAAAAACGAAGTAAATGTGTATCGAGAGGGAGAATGAAAACAGGCTTCCTATATATAGAGGAGATAAGGGACGGATATATCATGAAGAATACTGTTGAGAATGTTAACTTACTTTAGTTTATTAGTTGAGAGTGAATCAATCATCCAGAAAGCTTGATCTGTTATCTTTAATTAATGTAATTCCCATTTCATCAATCAAAAATCTCAACTTGTTCCTTTGATTTTGGTCTCGATTTTCCTTTTTATTACAGTCATAACCAGTACTTCTAAAGAGACTTACAAGAATGAGAAACAAAACAAGAGGAAAGGAAGATGAAAGAAAGTACTGATGCTTTGAGACTATAATTTAGCCCATATTCCATCATCTCCAAGAAGAGTAGCAATAGACTTCAAGAGTAGGTTGCATCAACCCAAATAGATCAACCTCAAAATTAGAAACTGTTTCGGCGTTTCCCTTTAATAACCACTTCAGGACATTCACCTCCTATATATAAACTTAGACCAGAAGCCAATAAAAAGTAATCATTTCTCTATGCAGTTACGTTTGTCAAGTCGAAGGATGATCTAATGAGGCATAAAATTCAAACTTTCAAAGGACCTAAAAGAAGTAGATACTACTCAGAATTGCATCCACTTGTAACTTTCACTCTTTTCTTGAATATAAGCTGTGTAGAACTTTATTTAATTCTCAATATCAGCTATGTACAATTCAAGGAGGAAAACATCCATTGTAAAGAACACATTTTCTGATTAGTGATCTAAGAAAAGCTGAAAATGAAGAAAGTATGTTACAGTGACCAAAGTGAGAGGAGAGGTAGGGAGTAAAAGCCTTCACGTGGCAAGCGGCTTTCATGTACTATTGTGCACCAAAATCAAGATATGACACATACAGCTAAAAATGCACCACTTCTAGAAAATTTAAATCTATGTGTCATAAAAGTGCCAAAAAACCAGCTTCATAGTTTATATAGTCTTACGCTATGTTTGGATAGAGAGAAATGGAGGGAAAGGAAGAGAAGAGAAATAGAGGGATGCATCTTCCCTTGTTTGGATACCTAGCGTAAGGAGGGAAGGGGAGGGAATTGGAGGGATCCATTTTCCTTCCACTATTAATAAATCAAATCCCACCATTCTTGGAGAGATTTGGAAGGAAAATGAAAGGTCTCCTTCTCCCTCCCCTCACCTCTCTTTCCCTCCCCTCTTTTTCCATCCCCTCCCTTTCCCTTCACTATTATTATCCAAACATAGTGTTAATCTAATTTACTGTTACCAGAAAAAGATAAAATAATTTAACAAAAAGTGAAAGATCAAAGTTAGAGAAAGGAGGCAATTTGGCTCTTCTTAGTTACTAGCCATAATAGTTAAACCTGCGAATCTTGGAAAAGCATTGGCTATGCAGGATTTTAAATTTCTTCTTCAAGCACATTCCCCATTTGTATCCTTCTTTATTTGTCACTGCTATGCAAAGAGGCAGGAATGCAGGATATTGGAGAAGCTTCAATCTCAATGTAGCCCCATCCCCGCCCCACCGGGAATGGAGGGAGGTTTGGCAGGTGATGGGGCGGGGATGGGTATAAAATGTGTACCCACCATGCATGGGTGATGGGGCGGGTATGAAATTTAGAGTAGACCCACCCCATATCCACCCCGCCTCGTACCCACCTTATACCCGCACCATATTTCTTTTAGAAGAGTTTAGAATTTATGAAACTTGATACCGGCCCCTAAGACCCAATAAGCTTGAATAGTGAAAGTCCCAATTTTTTTAACCTAATTTGATATAAATGTCATTAATGTGATACAATATAGCATCATGGTAATGGGTTTGGGACGATTTTGGGGCGGGTATGAATATCCAAGTGGGTGATGGGGCGGGGATAGATCCTATCTTGTACCCGGTGAGGCGGGTATGGATGTGGATATTGTACCCGCCACGAGTGGTGGGGCGGGAATAGGTATAAGATTTTTAGGCGGGTATGGGTATGGAGGTACCATCATCCGTATCCAACCCGCCCCATTGCCCTCCCTATCTCAGTATAGTCATGGAAGATAATTCTAAACAATGAAATTTCCATATTTAAGCAACTACAAGCCCTAAATAAGACTCTGTAAATATCCATTACACCTAACCATCAGATATATTTTCTACATTAGTTTCTCTGGCCCATTTATTAGGGGACCAAGAGAAACTAATGTCGCAACTTTGTATTTGCTGTTCCACAAGCCAGTAAGCCACTGCTGCAGCTTAGCTTTCTTTAAAAAAAAACATCCTAAAGAGATTCAGAACTAAGAACATCAAAAACCAATCACTACAGGACTATTCCTAGTATTCTCAGAAAGAGCCCCATATCCCACTCCTCACTTATAATTCTAAACCCCTCAAAATATTTCGAAAGCAACACTCAGGTATAATATTCCCAATGCCCACCCCATGAGACGAGTAGATGACAAATTTTGAAACCTTCTTCTTCCACTATCTAATGGCTTAAAACCTCAATCTCATGCTTCCATCTGATGTTTTATTCTATATAAACTCGTTATCCCTCACTATTGGAAATCCTAAAAGGCCACTTTAGCTAAAGAATCGCATACATAATGCTTAGATGACAAGAGCTCAAGATCTCTGATGCTATTCAGGTAGGCATACTACTATAATGGCCTACAAAATCCCTTTTTTCTGTCCTCTCAGACCTTTCTCCATCTGATGAACCTACTAGCCTGAATAGTGACATGATAATGAAGCAAATAGGTAAATTGACAATGCTCTATGGCACGCAAAACTTTCCTTTTTCTCATTGAAATTATTAACTTGAATCCCCTGGGTTGATGGATTCTTATGCAAATTTTAATTAAACTATTTGTAAAGCAAACCATTTGAAAGCACAGATAATAAAAGCAAGTGCCCATCTTACAAACATTGGTGTAATCAGTACAAAGAATCATACACAGATCAACAGAGCTAATGAATATAGAAACCTTGAAAATTAAAAAACACAAGTTTGGATTCATATGCAAATAATTATTCCCTCCATTCAGAAACAATAAATATGTTATCCTAACCCCTCATAATCAAGTAAATGACACAATATTACTCAAAAAATTTACCCAGTATATTCTAACTTGACCATTCCCAAACCCACCCCCAGAGAGATAAAATACTCAATCTCATTTTTCCATCTGTTTCATAAAGATGTTTTAATATTTCATATGAAGTCTTTCCACAAAAATGTTCCTGTTTCCACCTTAATCCTATAATGACAATGAAAAGTCTCTAACCTTACCCGACCTCATAGGTCCACTTTATCTATCTAATAATCCCTTTGCTCCTAAATTCTCACAATAATTTGACTTTAACACAATTTTGACCACATTTTACTAAAAGATTAAAATCAATTATTATTGTGTGACAGGACGGTCTTAGGGGAGAAAGTCTCCACCAATAATTACTCTCCTCACTAATGAGAATAACAAATATCCGCTTGTACTTTTAGACCTCATGTTGGTACAAAATCCAACATGAGGTCTTCAAGTACCAATAGTCTTGTTCGTACTAAAAGTACCAATGGACACTTGTTATTGTCATTAAAAAAAAAAGAGTAATTTTTGCTTTAGACAACCTCCTCAATGTATACTTTCATTTATCATTTTTGTATACTTCTATTAATAATTAATTTTATAATTATAGTTAAACTTTTGCATATATACAAGTCAAATTATTGCAGTTGTCTCTATACAAATATCTCACTCTACCCTATAAAGTCAAATGGAACCTACTTACATTTTTTAATTCTTGATCTTTGAACGTAAAATGACATCTTCATAGAACGGAGCAAGTACAAATATGATAATAAAATCAATTACAATATACTTCTGGTGATCCTTTTGGTTCTACTCACTTCCCGATTAAGAAGGTTCAAAAAGTTCTCATGTATAATCTATTCATGCATGTATGGTAAAAAAAAGCCTAATCAATTTTCCTCTATTTATTTGGTGAATGTGCCAAAATCCGTGGCGGATCCACGAAGGCACAAGGGGTAACACATGCTACCCCTGGAAAAAAAAATTAAATTAAAAAAAATTAAAAAATTGAATTAGTTCTAAGAGACCTGTTATAACTAGTCTCTTAGAGTTGCTATAACAAATGCCAACAATACCGCTTCTTTCCAAGTCAAAAGAAAAGAGACCTGTTTATATAAAACATGTCTTTTAGGTTCTAACCTTTTCTCTCTATGATTTCCTTGTTAAAAGAAAAAAGACCTGTTTATAACAGGTCTCTTAGATTGATTTTTTTTTTCTTTTTTGAAATAGATTAACTATAGTTATATTTGTACATAATTTAATTTTTGTAAAAACTCTCATTTAAGTTATATACTAGTAGAATCTTAAAATTTTAAATTACAAAATATATATACCTATACTTTAATTATTTTAATCACCGTACATAATACCAAATATAATAATAATATATTATCCTTAAAAACTCCTTCTTTGATAAAACTTCTTCCAATTTTTGTTGCACTTTTCAATGCACATATTTATTTGGTAATTAATTAATATATTTACTATTTAGTTTAATTTGAGTAAATCAATAATTTATATTAAATAAAATAATTTTATAGTTTTATATTTACTTTTGAATAGTAAATTTGGAGGAATACATACAAAATATACTATTAAACCTATGAAATACTTTTTAATTTGGTCATATCCAAAAATAGAATATTAGTTATTCCATATTCATAAATAGAATATAATTTGATCATCTACAAAAATGAATTTTTAAAATTTAAAGGCTAATGATAATACTAGTATATAATATAGAGCTTTTTTAATTTTCATTTTTTTCCCTTTATTATTCTATGCTACCCCTAGTTAGAATTCCTGGATCCGCCACGGGCCAAATTAAATAACCTTAGGCAGTGTTTGGAAACAATAATCTCATTTCAATTTCTATATTTCAATTCTAGAAATTTAAATCCTTGCTTTCAATTCCAAATTACTTGTTTGGAAAAACAATAATTTTAAATCCAGAATTTTAAAGTATCCATTGTGTTTGGCAATACTTTAGAATTTTAATAACAAATTAATTAATTTAACTAATAACTAGTGTATAAAAATCCTCAATTTTTCAATAACCAAAACAATAACCTTCATCATCATCAATTCCAAAGATCTTCTACTCACTTCTTATCCAAAAAAATGGTTAATCATATCCAGACTTGAGATTTTGTAGCCCCAAACCCACTGCTATACATAGGATCCGAAGATTTCATTAACCCGTCGTCGAAGCCGCCGTCATTAAAGGCGAAGGTGGTGGAGGAAAGATAGAGACTGCTTAATGGAGGAGAGAGAAAGAAAGTTGATGATAGTGCGATAATAGTTTGACGAACTTGACGAGCGAACATAAATATTTTCATCATCATGAAGAAAGGATTTGATGAAAGGGATGAACTGGGGTTAAATATATAAGGTAGGTGTTTGAGTATTGGGGCTGGGTTAGGTTGGGAATTTCAAATGACATGTTTTGACTCATTATTTCAAATTTTTAGTTTTATGAAGTTTTCTTAAATATTTCAGAATTTGGGCTAAATTCAGATTTCAAATTCCAACTCATCCAAACACTATAATTAACCCAATTCCAGAATTTCAAATGAAATTCAGGTATCCATATAGAGCATTATTTCTTTTCAATATAACAATTTAAACAAATTTCCACTAATTGAATTTTCCAATGCTGATTTCAATTTTTATTTATCATCATCTCTGCACAATCACCTCTTATCCCTTTTTTTTTCTTTTTTTTTTTGGGTATTAAATAGTGGAACTAATTAATGGGAAAATAGAATCACTTTTATAATTGTTTCCCCTTACCATGATTCATTGTTTTTTAATTAGATCCTCGCCTTCAAATGTGAAGAACAAATAGGATATAACAGGCAGTAATAATCTAGTTTCATTTCCAAAAATCCAAACATCCTAAAAAATAAAAATGTATAGGCAATCATTTCCAAACATCCTAAAAAATAAAAATGTATAGGCAATCATTTCCAAACATCCTAAAATTGTACAGATTATTTACCAACAATTTTAATCATTATTCCCCAAACAAATGCAACTCAATCCTCAAATATTAAGTAAACAGATATTCCTCCATAATCAAGCTGACATGCAATTTAATTAGCAAATTACTCACCAATTATTAAAAATAAAAATAAATGTACCTTAGTGGATTGAGATTTCTTGACATTGCCGGCAACAACAACGATGCTACAGGGTCGTAACGTTGATTTCATAGTTTCAAAGAGTTTGGAGTTGCAGTGAGAATCATTCGTCTTTCCGCAAAAATTATGAGATTCATACAAAGATTAAATCAATTTTCGTGAATTTTTGAACAGTGTTTGAATTGTGAAATTCAAACAACAGTTAAAGTGAGATGGTGAATACGAAAAGTTGGATAATCGTCTGATGGGGAATGACTAATCAAAGCCACAACCCACAACCCACAAGAGTAAAGTACTAATCAAAGTCTATGATGTATGAGATAATGAGAAAATATATAACAAAGGGTAATTCAGACTTTTCGCAAACCATAAATATCTAAAGTATTTCATAAATCAAAGTAGTACCACTGTTGTTGTGAAATGCTAAATCGCCCTTCAAATTTATCGCCACCGCCATCATTTCGAGCAAACTAACAATTTTTCCCTTACTAAACCCAAACCCATCTTTCACCCTTATTTTTTTTTCTCTTTCCTCAAACACCAACCACCCACATTTTTTACTCCACAACCACATATTTGGGGTTTACCAGGAAGCAATTGGCGGCGAGCTCAGGCATCGGCGAGCTCAGGCGGTGGAGGCGGCGCGGACTTAGACATCGGCGGCGGCAGCGGCGACAGCTACGGTGGAATGGTTGGAAAGGAGGTAAGTAGTTTCCGATTAGTTTTTTTTTCTGATTTTCTTTTTTTTTTATGAAATAAGTGGGTGGTAACCGGAGGTGAAAACCGGTTGCCAACACCTAACCGGCGACCAAATCCGGTTGACCGCAGCCGGTAATCAATTTTCACCTCCGGTTACCGGTGGTGGTCAACCGGTTTTCACCTCTGGTTACCAACCACACCATATTAAATTTTTTTTAAGAAAATTGAGCAAATTTTGAATTAGGCTCCAATTACCGTCCATGGTAACCGGTTTTGACCTCTAGTTGACCATGGTAACTAGAGCCCAAAACCGCTTAACGTCCACGGTAACCGGAGGTCAAAACCGGTTATCGTGGAGCTCTGGTTGATCCTTGATACTTTTTTCATCAAACCACCTCGATCACTATCCATTTCTCGTCGACTTTCGCCGTCGTTGTGGATGTGCGGTGTAGAAGGTGGTGGTTGATACGGTTGTGGTTTATCGACTAATGTTAGAGAATGAAAATGGGAAAAAAATAGTAAGGGCTAGATTGTCAATTTGCTTGAAATGATGGTGGTGGAAATAAATTTGGACGGCGGTATTTAACACCCCCTTGTAGTATTTTAAGTCCTAGTAGTACAAATTTATTGTTCAATACTATTAAGTTATTTCATAGTAGTAGATAGCTGATTTCAATTTAATAGTTAGAGAAAATTTCAAATAAGCTATTAAGTTTGTCAAACTTCAATAATATAATTAATAGTCTTAGTGGTAGAAAATTACAGTTCAGCAGTATAAAAATAATATCTAGTGAAAGATCTTAAATAACCTGATTTTTCTTAAGCAAATTTACTAGTTGTCTTGTTAATAACTATTTTAAAAAATTTCAATCTTACTTTTAGTAGCTGTGTCGACTTGGTATTAGAGCCATACGCATAATATAAATCTAAATAGTTAATTTAATTAACAATTAAGTAACACTGGAAAATACTAGACCTTCTACTGAGTGTAAGAAGCCTGATTTTAAGCACTACTATCATATACCTGAAAATACTAATAATTTTGGTCCAGTCCTTTATTATATTGTAAAAGTTGAAGTTGATAACATACATTTGTCGTCGCATGAGCAGTGAACATAAGCTATTAACAACAATATCAGAGACTAATAAAAATTTAAGTGATGAGCTAAAAGAACAAGTTAAACAAGTACAACTTGCTTTAACAAACGAAGTTAGACATCAATTTAACAAAGAAGTATCACCTAGTAAAGAAAAAATTATTCCTTATAAATAAAAATATCATTTTCAAAATCTAGATAAAAATAAGAAGTTTACGGGATCACTCCCTAAAAGACCAACTAGTAACCAAGAAAAAAAAAACAAAGAAGCTAAAAATGAGCCATCATCTTCAGGAGAAAACGCTTGAAGAATTACAAGTCTTATTCGATAAAAAAGAAGACCCTGATAAGCTTAACGAAATCATAAATTTAATTTCCGAAAATGTAATCCCCCGTATTTTTCAATATTTTATAAATGAAATTTTATTTTATTTATAATATTTATTTGTACTTTTCCAGAATTTAATTACAAAAGTTTCAAATTATTAATATTGGTCGAAAATTATTTTAGCACAAACTATTTTATGAACCAATGTTCTACAATTCATGATCATACAAACAAAGCCTAGTCCATTTCATTTACCTAATTGGCCCATTAATTTTATGAGGCCCAATCCTGTTACTTACCCTACAACATTCTCTCCTATAAATACTCCATTAATCCCCAAAAATTTCCCACACAAAAAGGTTAGTCTTATTTTCTCTCTCCTTTGTTTTATTAATTTGTATAATTATAATTATTGATTTATGGATTTTGATTTTATTGTTTGAAAGTAATTTAATTAGTATCAAGTTGTATTTTGATGATTAAACTTTATAATTTCAGATTTTATAATGTCATAATTTTCAGATTTTGTAAATTTTATAACCTAGGGTTTTTAATTATTGAAAATCATGATTTTAGGGTTTTTATGAACAATTGATTTAGGGATTTTATAATAATGATGTTTTGAAATTTTGGTGATTATAACTAATGATTAGTTTAACTTAATTTCAGATTATTTTAAAACTTAAATTCGGGTTTTAATTTTTAGATTTCCTTTTGTTAATATTAATCCCGTTTTAATCCCGATCAGATTCTGAACTCATCCGATTTTGACAAAAATAGTGTTTTCCATGTGTTCTCGTGGCCAAATTCAGCCTCTAAATATGATTTTCGGGCATTTTTTTTTTATTTTAACGAAGTTTTTTTATAATTAAAATATTATCCTTGAGTTTGATTAATAAAATTAATTATGTTTAAAGTTAATTAAGCATAAATATATGTTTTTATTGAAGTTTAAGTGTTGGAAATAGTTTCTAAGTACTACTTTTGATTTTTTATAAAGAGGGTTTAATCACCCATTAAAAAGGGAGATTATTAGGGGTTTTTAAATAATTTTAAGATTTTTATTAAACTTTAAACTTGCTGTAATTTCATGTATAAGAGTGTATTTTAAGGTTTTTATGAAGAAAATTTAAAGAACTATATATAAGCCTTTAATTTTAACTAAAGGGAAGGTTTTAAAGTGTTGTTTGATTTGGATTTTAAAGGTTTTAAAATAAGTTAGTATTGCTGTAAATTTGATTGATTGGGTATTGATTGAGATGTTATTGTTTGGTTTAGGAGAGGAGTTTATTGAAGGTGATTTCTAGATAGTAAAGTGGCATACCAATTCATTTATTATTCAAGGTACGTACGAGTTACGAAACCTTTCTTTTAGGTGCATGTTTAAGGACGGATCGAGAACTTAGTATCATGTATAGGGATGACTGAGTTAAATTGTTTGGTTATACATTGTGAATTTTCGTATGACGTGCACTATTTTATATTGCAAGAATTATTTGTGCTCTAATTATGCAAGGTGCGCTTAGAGGCAAAGGTATGTGATTTGTGGAATGATTTATTTATTACTCATTCATGATTATGCAAACAGGATGAGTAAAGGAAGAATTCAAGTCTTATAAGACGAGGTTAAGGTTTTGGGGTGCCTTATGCACTCAAGGTGTTTATACACCGAGGTAGTAAAGGATTAAATAATAAGTGTTGTTTGTCACTGTAGGGAATAATTTCAAGCCTTTAAAATCCCACTAGCTTGAACCCCACTGTGACCATACACTAAAGTACGGTGGCGTCCAAAAGAGAAGAAGATAAAGCAAAAGAGTCGCCAACAAGTTTTTAAGGAACTTATAAACCGTTCACGAGGTGAAGGTTACACCCCTTAACGATCCAAGAGATCGTCAACTCCATAAGGTCATGAACCAAAATAGGGTTCGGGGATGATGGTACAAATCCAACCTAAAAGAGATTGAACCTGCCCTAATAATAGACCTCTACTTTATTCTGCTCGTATTCATGTGCGCTTTCTGACTAACATTCAATCAATAGGATTAACCCTAAACTTGTTTAATCTATGTTGGTTGAATTTAATGCACAAATAAACTATTATTGGCGATCACTTGAATTTATAATCACAATTAACCTAACAAGATTATTAATTATCTTATTAAGCGTGGTGACAAGTACCAAATTCCCTTTAAACATGCATGAAAGGTGATCAAGCAATAACAAATAAAATATATCAAGCAACATCATTAATAATCAACATCATTAATAATAATAATATCAATCATAATTATAATCATAATCATGTTAAAGCATAGCAAGATCCTAGGCATGATACTAACAAGATTAATAACAAATCCTAGCATGTCACTAAGCAATAAAAATCAAATCTTTAGCCCTAACATGATACTAGCATGAATAAATATTAGGAAGAATATAAGAAGCATCGTACTTTTAATCATACTTAATATTAAAGTTACCCTAGACATGATACTAGGAATCAAAATAACAATCTAAGCATGATTTCTACATCATAATATCAATTAAACCATTAAAGTACTTACTTGGATGCCTCGTACCTCTTTCTAATAACAAAATACACGCGTTAGTAACTTCAAGGAAAATAATAATCAAAACAATTAAATTAAATAATTGAAAGAGAGATTTGGGACCAAACCCTCAGAAATTAAAACCTTTCACGTCTAGGGCGAAGGCAACTTCGAATATGGCTAGGTGTTTCTAGATCTTGCGAATGCGGAATTTTGTATTTGAAAATCAAAGTTTTGAATGCTAAAGAATACTTGAGAATGAGAGAATTGATGAATGCTAATTCAAACTAGTTGTTGATGAGAATTCGTGAATGAAAACGGAGTTTTTGATACGATATTTATAGAGAAAATCATCCAAAAAAGATAATTTAACAAAACAGAGTCTGAAGATCGAAAAAACACATTGGCGCCAGCCTGGCTAGTTGGCACCAGTGGCTAGCGCCAGGCGCCAATGGCTAGCGTCTGGCGCCAAGGCCTGGGGTTGGACGCCAAACTGGTTTTCAACTCGTTTTCGAAAATCTGATAGATTTACCGTACTGGAAGATAAAATAATATAATTTCTTCAAAAATGCTATTTGATCTTGATTAAAACTCTGAAGAGTCCTAATTGAATTAGGACTGATAAGAACCTTCTAGAA